TTTGTTTGTATGAACTGGTTCGGTAAAGTGATCAATCGACTCTACGCCTGAGAGTTCTGAGCAAGAGATCCATTTAAGATGATAAGCTTCCGAAACTGGCTTTCCATTCTCAAGAGTTTTAGAAGATTCAATTAGCTGGCCAATTGCAGGACATCCTGAACTATTATCGCTAGTTCCAAAAAAGTATGATGCCAACTTCCATGGCGAAAACAAAGACATTTCTGCAATTGGGAAAGTTCAAGTCCTCTTCGTGTTACATGTGGTATTTCGATCTCAAAGCATCAAGTTGTTATTATTATGTATCAACTAAATATTTTGTGCTGCGGATTATACTGTTTATAGGAATTTAATCACGACATTATATTAACAACAGCTCCCATAGCTCAGCTGGTTAGAGCGTGGTGCTAATAACGCCAAGGTCGCAGGTTCGATCCCTGCTGGGAGCAATTCCCTTTTTTTTCTTATCATAGCGGAATGCACATATTGCGATAAGAACATCTGAACTGCAAAAAACAAAAAGCAACTCGAATATGCCACACGATTTTTATTCACAATAACTTTATTAAATTAAATGTTAGAGTTGTTATATTACAGTCTTTTTTACTAAATCCTACGCTTTTTCTCAAACCGATCTAGCGCAGTAGGAGGCTTCTCAATTTCACCGAGCGACCGCTTTTGCCTCAATTCCCTTTGTCTCGCAAGTTCTTTTTCAATAGCCAGCTGAATAATGATTTAGAAGCGCATATCACGTTATTACCAAGTTTAGATAGTGAAATTAATTGATAAATCACATATATATTTTGAACCTAACAATTTGCACAACGACAGAAACTTTTGATCACATACTCTTTTGCCGTCAATAACGTTACTTTGTTTTTTACGAAGATACCGTTTGAGAGCAGTGTTCCTACCGCGCATTTTCTTCTTTTCTTTCGCCGGTTTGGAGTTTTTCGTCCTTTCCTCCTATTTTAAAAAGATAAATAATTGAAATCACACCATTACGCGATAGCTGAACCATCATGTAATCATCATAACAATTCATCATACTTCTTCTTGTTTTCTTTCTTTCTCGATAACGGCTTTGGACGCTCGATCTATCTTTCCGACAAACGTTGTGTCAAGAGTAATAGCCTCTGGTTGTATCTAGGAAAGCAATGTATCATGCATAATAGATGAGAATTAAAATTGGTTTGCCCTATGAAATCACTTGATCACTGTTTTCGTTTCTACATCGATTTTCAATTCCTACAACAGTATACTCTAAGTTTCACTCTCGAATCAACATACCTTTTCTAAAAGAGCATGCACTTCTGATTCTTGTCTTTGCTTCTTAGTCTGGTATGGATTTGCCTCTAAACTGTCGAAATTGGGTTCTCCCGCGCCGGGCACGACTAAACTTGAAATGCCTGATGAGTACCCTACGCCTAAAATGTCTTCGTACGGACAAAAGTGCATATCGTGTATTTGAGCGCCCCGTTCGATGTGGGTCACGTATGGGGATTGTTGCTTTGTAGTAAAGGCATCTTTCCAGACCTGTGAGCAAAGTTTCGAGCAGTTGAGAATTAATGGATAGTAACGGGAAGAATGCGCATACGTGATAAATATTAAAATAAACATTCGAATTAATATATTCGTTACTAGTATGCGATGTGTACCCTTGTGGAAACAGTCATCTAACTATAACCTAATGCATCGCCTCATAAAGTACATACCCATACATGTGGCCCCCATCCGACTCCTAGCAACCCCAATTGAGATATTGATAGACATGCTGCCGGTGTCGGCGTATAATATTCGTGTAGTGATTTGTAAGTTCTTATATCCCAGATTTTCAACTGCCCGTCCAATCCTGATGTAGCCATATATCTGTACAAGAATCATGAAGAAGAGCGGGTTGTGGATATCGTATCATTATATACTAGACGGTGGAGATACTTTTTTTTTTCATACTCACTTTCCGCTATGATCAACAGCAAGTGCTCTCACTGGACCTCTATGTGTAAGCATCTTCACCAATGGAGTTGCCATGTTTGGTGACCATAATGTCACTGTGCCTTATGAAATTTCAGAATACACTCTATTATGGTTACTGAGCCGTAACATCATTTGTATTTCAACCAAGTCCTACCATTCACATGTCCAAGATGTATTATGGCATTCCATGGGTTCTGTGTCATAGCGTCACATTTGCCGAGTTTAGTGCGGTGTTCACATACAAGTTTTCCTGTCGATGTATCTTGATATTTGAGCCATCCTGCATTGCCCTAATAAAACGTGTATGTGTGTGTTGGCATTTGTCTTACGATATAACCGATGCTTCAAACAGTACTTACCACAGTAACCAATAGAAAATGGTAAGGAAGAAATTCTATCTTGTTCACTTCAATATGTTTCTTAAGACAATGCAATTCCAACCCGTTGTGATCGTATATATACACATACTTCTTCTGTGCGACAGCAAAGTATAATTCATTATGCAACCATCTAAATAATAATACCATCAACTTTGAGTATCAGAGCATATAAACTATTGACGTCATAATATTCGTGAATGCATATTTACACACTTGATATCCCGTATATTCTCCTTAACGTGAAATTCACACATTTTTCTATCTAAAGGCCAGTTATATGTTGCAATATGGCCTTTGCGACCAGCTATGGCCATGTGGCTATTGACAGATTATGAAAGCATATCAGTATTTGAATTGTCTGTTTTGCATGTATCAAGATTGCTTCATACCGTCCATTACGCGTATAATCAAAAGCATATGGACCAAACGTAGGAAGACTAATGTCAAATCTCTAATAACAGAAATTAAATTCATGAGTAGTGATTCCTATATCAAGCAAATACAACAATGCAGTCACAAACCTTTTTTGCGACTTCTTCGTCCACTGCGCTAATCAATTGATCTTGCGTAAAGTTGTAAGTTTTTTCCATTCCCTCTGCTTCCAAGTATCTAACAAAATGTGATCACGTCAATAATGACTTATCATAAATGATATGAATGCAAACAGTCATTGACTACACACCCAGGATCCTCAGTGAGTAGCATCTCCGTCCTTGCCGCTTTCTCAGCAGCATCTGCATATTTTGATTCTATCCGCCGAAGCGTTCCTTTCACCTTTTTATCTTTTATAGACTTAATGGTTCAATGATGCATAAAAAGTTAACATAAAAATACGATTTGTAAATTCTGAAAGATAATGCGCGCGCAATATATCATTCAATTTATGACTGAGGTATTGCAAACCTTTAATTGCTTCTTTCCCAAAACTATCTCCTTTTCCCGAACATATTTAGGTATATTGAGAGTAACTGTTTCGATATCTTTCTCTTTCTCTTTCTTTTTCTCTTGTTTTGAGTTAACATTATTGTCTTGCCTTGCGGCAGTTTGATCTGTTGTTGACATCTTTGTGTTGAAAGACACGAATGTTTTGAAAATCTAATATTAAAAAAATTGATTAAAATTTTTTATCACCTTAACCTCTCCAATAATCACATTGTGTTATCACATACTGCCCTGATTCTGCCCAATCAAACTTCAAATCAATTAACGGCAACAAAAAATTTTCCCTCTCTCTTCCTTTCTCAACGTCAAGTGGAGCCAACATGGTGAGTTTCGTCACGGTTCTCGAGAATCTCTTTACTAGAAGACATTTTTCTAGGCGTAGGCGGTATCCACGCAGGTTAGGATTTGTTTTATGTAGGCGAATTACATTAGTGGGGACAAGCAAAGAATAAAGCAGGAATGAGAAAGGGCGGACAAAAGTAGCAAACTAATTCAAGCTGACAACATGAGAACAGATAATGAGGGAGAAAGGCATGCAAATCGTGGAACGTAGGAGGGGGAATGATAAATCAATGGAACAGTATGTCAATGTGACTGGATGCCTGAGAATGCTAATTTACTGATAGCAACAATTGGAATTGCCGCAAATTTTATTTTTAAGAAACTGCACATAGGAGGTTGCTTCCCTATAGGAAGACTCATGTTGCAATGACGGTTGCAATAACATGATGATCCAACTCTCAGCATTCATAGTTACCACAATACGCTATAACGCACTGTACAGTTAGATAATTTTAACCGAAAAAAGCTGATTATAATAAATAATCAATTTTTTTTTACTCCCTCAATCCATCCACTCTTATTTTATATGTCAACCTCTAAACATCGGCTCTCCTTTTCATGCGTGACAGGGTCGTGTCCGAACGAAAACCGTCAAAAAGGTATGTCGACTTGAGGAAAGGAAGAAAAAAGGAGATAGAATTAGATTGACATATGCTAGAATTGAACTATGATCAAGCGTGTAATTCTTACACCTTTCGTTATGTGGGAATTTTCTTAACTAGGCGTCCCGGCTTGTTATTGAGAAGTATCACCAGCGTCTCACCTACGACTTCCAAACAAACAAAAAGATTTGCGATGAAGTCGCTATTATCGCGTAAGTGGGAAACTTTATAATTTCCAATCCTCGGATGCCATCTGTTGTATTTCTATTCTAATTTTGCATATCCTCTAATGCCCGCAACCCTCGTCTTTATTCTACTTTTTTTTTCGTCTTACTATTTGCCGTATTGTCCTTCTCACTCCTTACACCGTTTCCAGTTCTAAACGGCTTCGCAACAAAATCGCTGGTTTCGTCACACATTTGATGAAACGTATTAGACATGGGCCAGTCCGTGGTATTTCATATAAATTGCAAGAAGAGGAACGTGAAAGAAAAGACAACTATGTTCCAGACGTCTCCGCTTTGGCTGTTGAGTCCATTGAAATTGACCCCGATACTCAGGTACGATTCGTTCTTTATCGAGTAGATTCCTACAGTCTAGTCGATTCATGGTCGATCGATTAATTCATCACTTTAGAGCGATTCTTTACAACGTCACTAATAATATCACACATGTTAATAATTTTTAGGATTTACTTAAAAATCTTAATTTCGAAGCACTTCCCGGAGTATCGGTTTCCACACCGGTCCCATTGAATACGCTATCTGATCGTCCTCGTGGACCGAGGCGTACTGACCGTCCGCCGCGTGCGCCTACGGATATGTAACGCCCCTTTTTATTAGTTCATTCTTTTAGAAACTACTATTTGATTCTGTTTGATTCTGTTTGAGAGAACTTTAAAATAAATCTGTTGCCTATGAAGTAGTTTATGGGTAACAGTTTCACATCGGACGGATAAGTAACTTGGAGATTACATAAACAAATCCTGAATCAATTTATTGACTTTCTAAATGGTGTGAATCTATGTGAGGGATCCCTAGTAAACTAACAGCTATACGACGCTCTTGGCTATATTATAATTATTAGTAAAAAGCTCATTTGGGTTATAAGTGATTAATTTACATTTAGTTGATCGATATTATATAAAAGTAAACGGCTCGGTGAATATATTTATCCATTCCATCTAATCAGAGATCAGCTTCATCTCCGCAAACGCGCAAAAGAAACACATTAACAAAATGCCTTGTTACAGTAAGAAAGCGCTACAACCTCTATTGTCTGCAACTAATCTCGTTTCAGTTCAATTATTTAAAAAATTGGACGGAGAATAGGCACTCCATTTGTTCGACATTTTTTGTCAATCGTATCGACTGCAGATTGAAGCCCCTATTCATTAATAAGTATGCTTTGCTCGTTCTGCTGTTATATTATTCACAGAGGATACAGGAATCAGCCGGCAGTAGTTACCGATAAGAAACACGCTCTTCAGCTTGTGTGATAGATGAACAAACAACAAGTACAAAATTAATAACGATCCGCCCGCACGTAGTAGAAGATTATATAATGTCCAACTTTTTTTATCTGGAACGATTCACTTACGTCTGTATTGCACTTCTAATCTGCTTGCGATCTGCTTTCTAATGATCACGACGTAGAATACACATGCGAAGACAAATACAACGGAAATTCAAAGAAGCGTAAACATTAATATGTCTATTCAATTACGAGTCACAATTTGACGTTAACGGATTAACTCAGATTAATGTACGTAAAATATAGGATATATACGTAGATAACGTCTTCAAAACTTGCATAATACGCTCAGATACGTGGGCGGTTCAAAAAGTTTTGACACAGAGGCTATCAAAATTTTATTTACATAATAAACATCAATCTAACTAT